TTCTTTAGACACATAATTACTTTATCTTAGCAAAATGTGTTTATCTGTACTTTGAAGAGATTCAAGGAGAAGAGTTGATTCTTTGTCTAGGGATACCAAAGATTAGTGACATTTATCTGGTGGATAGTTCTACAGTAATATAATTCTTAAATACAGCTGGAAATTGGAAATAACAACTAAATAACCTCTGGATAATAATAATTAAAAAAAAACTGCCATAAAGTCACATGCATAATTTCTTATAAGAGAGACTCTCGCTCAGAATCTGAAGATTCTTCCTTCACTATTAAAATTTTGAGCTTTATGTTTTACTTATACAGTTCCATTTTTCAAAAACTGAGTTTTGCAGCTCAATGCAGATTAGAAACTAAAATCAGAAGAGAGAGGAAGAGGGAGAGGAAAGCTTTTAAAGGCAGGCTCATAGCCAGCTGTAAGATGTTATCACTTAGAAGGAGTAAGAAGATGCAAAACTACAAAACAAGGACTTTCCAAGTAGTGTCCATTACCGTGAAGGCAAATAAATCTCCTGCACTTTAGGTTCCTGGAGGGCATTATTGTATTAAAACATAGTGTAATTTGAGCATGATAATTCTGAGTAAGAAAAGGAAATTTTGTATATGCTTTTTTATTTTCTTAAAGATTTATTTATTTGGGCCCTCCCTGGTGGCGCAGCAGGTTAAAGCACAGCACCAAGAAGCTAAAGACACTTCAGCATGAGTTTGATCCCTGCCACGCCCCAGAAGTGACCCACATGGCACAGCAGACCTCTCCTGACCTGCCCACTGCTCTCCTCAGCAAGGCACTTCCTAGATCTGCCTCTTCTGCTCCCGCTCTGTCTCTGGTGAATCCTCTCACTGCCCCTGCACCTCTGGCCTGTGCCCCAGTTCTGTATGAATGGATGAATAAGTAAATATTTTTTCAATTTTTTTAAATAAAAAATATTTTATTTATGCATACAAAAGCTGAGGTGTAGGCCAGAGGTGTGAGGAGGTGAGAGGATTCACCAGAGATAAAGTGAGGAGCAGAACAGGCAGATATACTGAAATACACTGCTGAGGGATGCAGCCATTGTTACAGGGGAGGTCTGTGCCATATGAGTCAGCACCCTGGCTGGTGGGTGAGTGAACTCTTGCTGCTGTGGCTGGCAGTAGCTTTATAACACTGTGTCTTCAACACCTGTGCCACAAGGGAGACTCCTGTATATGCTTTTTTTATTTATGCTTACAGAACTGGGTACAGACCAGAGGTATAGTGGGAAAGAGGATTCACCAGAGACAGAGTGGGGAGCAGAACAGGCAGCCTGACAAAGTACACTGCTGAGGGGAGCAGCGGGTGGGTCAGAAGAGGTCATATGGTTCAGCTCCCTGGCCAGGGATCAAACTCATGCTGCAGTGACTTGGAAGAGCTTCATAATGTGTTTCTTTAACCCGTTGTGCCACCAGGGAGAGTCCTATATACTTAATTTTTAAAGTATTTTCACTTTCAATCACATACAATGTTGTAAACCCATGTTAGTACAATAAAAATTAAAAATTTTAAAAAAGTATTTTCTAGGGAAAGATTACTGAAACTGCAAGGCTTAGCCTTTTCATGTACTTATTTACAAGGTACTTTTAAAATTTGAAATGCAGGTCCCTCCCTGTTGGCTTGATCCCCGCCCAGGGAGGTGACCCACATGGCGAGGCAGACCTCTCCTGACCCACCTGCTGCTCCCCACAGCTGTGTACTTCCCTGATCTGCCTGTTCTTCTTCCTGCTCTGTCTCTGGTGAATCCTCTCACCACTCCAGCATTTCTGGCCTGTACTCCCAGTTCTGTATGCATAAATAAATAAAATCTTTTTAAAAATAAAATTTGAAATTCAAAAATGTTTTAATTTTTTTTTCAGAAATTTGGCACTCCGTTCTCTGAAATATTTTTATGTCCAACACTGTATGATTTTATTCCTTAGCAACATCAAATTAGGTATTAATTGTAGTTATTAAAGGCAGATCAGGGATTTAGAGCCTTTGACATAATCAGTTTAGTTCAACCCAAGAAACAGTTCTAGTTCCCTTTCCCTTCACCCAGGAAGTCTTAAATATTTCAAAGTATTTGAGAGAGTAGACCTTGGGCTCAGACTACCTGGATTCAAATTCTGAACCTACTGTTTACTAGCACAAGCCTCGGTTTTTTTATTGTGTAAAATAGGGAAGGTAATATAACTACTTCACTGGAAATTTGTTAGGGCTAAAAAAACTAAAGCAAGTCAAGTCAGCACAGGTTTTGGCACATGCTATGTCTTTCAGTGAAATTTGTCATTTTTTTTCTCTTGACATAAGATACGAATCATTTTAGCTGACTTTGCAAATTATATATATATATATATATATATATGCTTTCATTTATTTTGTATAAAGGGACAATGTATTACAAAGGAATTCAAGTCTTAGACTTCTCTGTTAAAGACAAAGTTATGCTTATGATATTAGAAGTTATAATAACCTGAAATGTCTTACTACCTACCAAATCCTTAACAACATTTAAAATGTTTGCAACATGATTGTCTTGTTACTAGTTTTTTGCTTAATGACCTCACTAGTTGCAAGCAGGATTCCATTTTAATCACCAGATCAATATAATCTAGCCCTTTCCATGTTCCCTATTAAGTTGTTTGGTACTTAACGGGCTGAAAGGTGTCTTTTCTGTGTTCCAGAAGTTATTTTCAGGTTCCCCACTACTAACAGATTTCCAGGTGCTTTTGAGAAACTTGGTGAAGCTCATCATCTGTGAGCTTCAATGGAGCAATTCAAAACTGCTAAAGAAACTGCCACTGCTGTGCTCATTCATTCATCCTTGTAGTAGTCCTATGAAGCAGGATTTTAAGAGTGGGGATTAAGGCTTAGAGAAATTAAAAAATAGGATCAAGATTTTCTATAGGGTAAATGGTAGAAATAATAAGTTTTGTCTGTTGGAAAGCCCATGCTCTTCACTTTCTCCTTCGTTATCAAAAGAACTAGTTTGTACATAGCTGTATGGAAAGCCCCACCAGAACCAACCTCAAATATTTCCATGTGTGTCAGCATTTGATCTGTAACTTAGATCCTGTGACTGAACAGCCAGATTTCTCTATGAAATTAGTTATATCCCAGAAATAAACATGACTCCCTATTCGGTTTGGGGGTAGATTTTTTTTATATATAGAAGATTTCACCTGATTTCCCAAAGTGAACGTCAAGGGGAAGGCAGATTTCTTCCCTCCTCTACTTCATATTGGGCATAGTTTTCTAAAATCTTAACTTCCTGTTCCCTCTCTGTAGAAGGTGACTTTTTTCCTTCCCTTATTGGCATTCAGAATGCCATTGGCCACATGGAAATTTGAGCCATTTCAAGGTTTGTTTTTGAACTTTTGTTGTTTTGATTAAATTTGTATTGTTTTAGACATCCTTTGTGTGGAATCTTTTTCTTTTAAAAAAAATTGGAGTAGCATTGGTCCTAATCACCCTTGGATAAATAGGAATTTGCTAAATAGCATTATAGCGTTGGCAAGGAAGTCAAATAATTAAGGATATACATTTTTATTTCTGGAAAGTATCCCTTGTTAACATGAAACTGTTATCTAGGCACTGAAATTAAATGGGAAGGGACAGTATTTTATATGCTTACCTTTTTGTTTTTTAAATTACTTTTAAAAAAAAAAACCTAAGCTAGAATTTTGTCTTATTCATTTTCATATCTGTAGTACCTGGTACATAGTAATTATGCCATAAATGTTTGTTGAATAAAATGGTTGTTTTTTTTTTTTTTTATAATTTTTTTTTTTTTTTTTTTTTTTTGGTTATGTGTTAAAAAACACATAAGCTCTGATCAGAAGTCAAGAATTGCTATGCCAAATACAGTACCCAGTTTGGCATATGAAGAACAATACAATCCTTCTCTTGGTTCTACCTTAAATATGTGGCTTTGGAGAAAAGCCAGTTAATCTCTTGGCATCTCAGTTTGTAATCACTTAAAACTGTTTCTTACTGCATAACGCCGAATAAGTGGCTATAAGGATGTGTCTCTCCTTTATATTTTAAAGTAAATATCAAACTGTTCCTATTTAAAAAAAAAAAAACATGGTGGGTGGGTGTGAAGAGAGAAAATTATTGGCGAAAGATTACTTTTAAAAACTATTATAGGGCCCTTGCTGGTGGTGCAACGGGTTAGGACACAGCACTGCAAGCTAATCCACATGGTGCAGCAGGCCTCTCCTGTATACTTCCTCGATCTGCCTGTTCTGCTCACCACTCTGTCTCTGGTGAATCCTCTCACCCCCACCCACTGTACCTCAGTTCTTATGCATAAATAAATGTTTTTTAAAAATAAAAACTATTATATATCAGGTAATTTGTGTTTAAGAATATAAATTTGTTCCAGGAGATATGAAAGATGTTAGCTATGAAAGAAAATGAATCTGTCTCTGGTGAATCCTCTTACCACCCCTGCACCTCTGGCCTATACCCCAGTTCTGTATGCATAAAAAAAAAGATTTTTAAACTTTAAAAATAACATAAAATAAAAGAAGTGTAAATGTCTGATGCATGTGAAAATTCATTCATGTTATATATTAAGAACCTGTAAATTAAGACAACAGTGAGATACACTTTTACCTCCAATTTGTAAAAATTTTTAAAACAACCCTCATTTTTGGCAGGGCTATTAAGAAACAGGTACTGAGAGCAGTGTAAATTGGTACAACTCTTTTAGAGGGCAATTTGAAAGTTTCTCACAATCCTGAAAGTGAATATATTTTATCTGCAATTCTATTTACTAGAGAAATTTATCGTGGAGAAGCAAAAAATTTTATTTACTAGGATGACTTACTAAAGTTTTATATGTCATGTATACTGGGAATATAAAAGACATACTCTGGTATGATTATAGGTCTTTTAATCTGGGGGTATCCTTAATAAATGCACAGAAAAGTATTTCCCTTCTTACCTCCACTATTCACTGCTTACTTACTTTTATTTCTGAACAGGTCTCCAGGGAAGGTTGAGATTTCAACATTAAAGGTAAGTTATGCTTTCTGAAAGTTATGTTACTGCAAATCATGTATAGTTTTCATTTCTCTCTTCTATGTGATTCTTCATTTTCTTGCTTTTGTTTTCTAATATTTTATGCACAATAATATTGTCATTACATCTTACCAGGTATGATTAGGTACTCTAGAAAAATCTAACATTGTGGCGTAAAGAAGGAACTTTAAAGTATTTATATTTCCACTAATTTTTAGTCTAATTTTTAGAACAAAAGAACACTACAGAATACTTTTATTTGTATTCTTGCATGACAAAAAAGTAGACTAACCAAAATACTTATATACTTATGCACATGTATTTGTATTATCACTCTATATATCAGTCCTAGCCTTGTATACAAGAAAAGGAGCTCAATATGGAGACATTATGCTGAGAGCCATTTTAAATACAAGAATAACACCAAATAGAATTATCAATATCAAATAGGGTAAATACTATATGTATATGTTTGTGTGTGTATATATGTAAAATATCAGATATGCTGTTTTATCAGTTCTAACTTATGTTTATACACATTTGATAATGGTCTCTTTAGTAAATTATTATATATTTGTGTTGAATATTCTATAGCAACAGAAATGAATTATATAAAATAATATGAATGAACTTCAATACCGTAATGATAAACAGAGGGAAAAGTCACAGAAAAATACATGCAGTAAGATTCTATTTATCTTAAGTTCAAAAAAATGCAAAATAAGAGTTGTTTTGAGATAAAAGCATAATTTAACAGTAAGGGAATGATAAACACAAAGTTTAGAATATCAGTCATGTTGGAGAGGAAGAGAATATAATAGAAATGGAGACTATTTGAAACTTGAAAGCTAATGGTAATAATACTCTCTTTAAAAACTGAGTGCTTAGGAATTTTTCCTTATAAATTTTTTTATCTTTACACAATATTTAATAAAAACAATTTTTAGAAGTAATACATGAACATAGTGAAAATTTGTTCGTACAAACAGTAGATGGTTAACAATGTAGTTTACCTCCCATCTCTCTTCCCCTATTCCCAGTCCATATATCCAGAAACAATTGCTGTTTATGCTTATAGGTTTTAAAAAACAGCAAGCTACAAGGTACTTTTATATGATAACAAATAGGTTTTGGGATTTTAGTTTATTTTAGTAATTATAGATTGCCTTATCTTGAAGAAAATTACATATTTTGTAAATAAACATAAAGTTGGATATTCATTTTTACCTTTGTTTCAAAATAATTGCAAATTTATAGGAAGCTACAAAAGATAGTACAGAGAAGTCCTAAATATCCTTCACCTCTTTTCTCCAGTGATCATATCTTAATTACAGTACATTGACATTGAAAACAAGAATTTAACAATGTTATAAGTGTATAGTTCTATGTCATTTTATTTCATGTGTATATTTATATTTGTGTAACTGGCACAACAAACAATGTGCAGATCTAGTTCATCACCACAATGACTCTCCCTTGTGTTATAAATTTCATACCTGAATCTCTCCCATATTATCCCTAACCCCAGGCAGCCACTAATCTGTTTTCCATCTCTAATTTTGTTATTTGTGAATGTCCTATAAATGGAATCATATAGCCTATGACCTATTGAAATTGGCTTAAAGGATTGAGATCCATCCAAATTGTTACATGTCTGTGGTTTGTTCCTTTCTATTAAGTAGTGTTCTATGATATGAATATATGCAGGCTACTTAAGCAATCCAAGGAAAAGTTTTATATGATCCTGGCTTTTGATGATTTCACAGCCTCACAAAAAAGACATGTATATCCCACAATATATGAGGTATCAATGTTTGTAGAATAGAATAGACTTAAATGCTGTAAGGGATTTGGAGAAGGAATTGAGAGGTACAGCAACCGAGAGATCAATTACCTGGAATAGTAGAGAAAAGTTTCAGGGAGTAGGTATAATAGAACTTGGTTTTGAAAAATAGAAATTTTTCATAGGTAGATTTGTAAAAGTTCAAAAAGTAAAATGTTGGAAAAGTAAACTGGGGTCAAATTGACAACTCTGGGCTTTAAAATTTTTGAGATAAGACATTTAAAAAGCTAATTTTTATGTGTCTTACAACTGTGCTCTCCAAAGTTTGTGGGATTTTTTGTTTTCATTTTGTCTTTTGGTTTTTGTTTGTTTGTTTGTTTGTTTGTTTTGTGGAGAATTAGTGAAAGGTAAGTAATGGAAAAGAATTAGAGTGTCAAGACATGAGACTTTAATAATGGCCAGTGTGGTTTATTTAAAAATTTATTTATTGTCTTACATCCTTGCTAGTGTTTTGAGAGTTTAGCATTTCTCCCTCAGGTGTAACCACTGTGGTTCTCCCACCAGTGCACCCAAGTCCCTCGCCACAGTCCAGCAGTGGCAATGTTGATAGGAATGGGTGTGTGGCTATGACAACTATTTAAGAATTATTTTCTTTGTTTTCAAACTAACACTTTACTCTTGTTATTTTTAGTAGATAATAATAAAGATTTCTTTGAGTTTAGATTACTTTTATACAAATGGTATGTGAACTGAGTTTTTCATTGGATATACATCTTCAGATCTTAAATTGTATTCTGTGAGAAGGCTACAAGCAGCTTAGCTACGTAATAACCCAACATGGAGGTGTATGAATTACTAGAAATTGAATGATCTACCTTTTTTTTAAGTCACACCCTCTAAAGAGGCATGTTTCTTCTGAGTTGTGATAGGTAGGGGTTAGAGAAATGGCCTGATAGTGGAAAGGTGGAATTTATGATGCACTGAGCTTTAGTCATGAGCCCATTTCTAGAAAGAGATAATAAATGAGGACTGTCTGAAGTCTCACTCTGTTGGTTTTGGTTGTTGTAATTCTACTTTATAGGAGTTGGCTAATATCTTTCAAAGTTTAAGAGTTTTGTTAAAGCAAGCAAAATAAAACAGAAATCTGTTTTGCGGTATGGGTCTGTGTGAGAATGTTAATCTGTGATCGTTATAGCTACTTAATTATATTAAATTGAGGTACAGGAACCATTAATAGTATTTTTGCTTAGGCTAATTTAGGTAAAATATCCATGGAATTATGTTGTATAACACATTGGTTAACATACTCATGATCAGTTATTGGATAAATATATATACTTTGTAGGGCATTTCAAGGTGTTTATCTAATATGCTTTTAACTATCTTTAATGACCATCTGCTTTCAAATATTCTCTATCTTGTCAAGATTATCTTACAACTTGGTTCTGATTAGAGTTATTTTTAGTTTAAATCCAAAATTTGATTGAAGGACCTAGAAGTGCAAGATGTGTGTATTAAATGCAGAAAAGTTAGCACATGCATTATTTTACATTCATCCCACCAATTATTACTTTCATTATCATTGTTTTAAGTACTAGGTAAGCAGTGATAGAACAAAAATGGCCTTTGCTTTCATGGACCTTACATTCTAGTAGGGCAGGAAGAAAGCAAAAAATACGAAAATAAGCAAGGTCATTTCATATGGTGATAAGTGCCAGGAATATAAACAGGATGATGCGATAGTCAGGATGTGAGTGAGGCTATTTTAAGGTGGTCATGGAAGGCTTTCTGATGTAAATAATGCATTAGCCTAAGGATAGTAAGAAACCATCCAATTGACCAGTGCATTTGTGAGACAGAGGTGTGAAATTTAAAAGATGTCAAATAGGCAGGGGCTGTATGGTGTTAATTCTTCATGAGTTTGAGTTTTTACCTAACCCTAAAAATGCAATGAAATACCCTTTGTCTTGAAGAATCTACGTAAGATTGGTAATATTTTCCAGATTCTGGAAGGAAGTCAATGAAACAACTTTCTGGCTTAAAGATATTGGAAGACTACAGAAATTTCTCTAATACATTAAATGTTTAGCATTATAATAATTTTATCAGGGACCTGTTGCAATCATAACCTCATTAAGTTCTACCTTAATACTTAGTTTTAGGTGCCTCAAGTCACTTACCTGTCAAAAATGGTTACAGTAATCTAACAAATTCTGGTGTGCATCAAGAATTGCAATATTTCTATAAATGTAAAGACAGTTTAAGATGGAGAAGAATACTATGCTAAGATTTGCAAATGTGGTTGCCTTATTTTATCCTAATTTTTTTCAACAGAAATGCAGTATCCATTTCTACCTTCTCTAACCTCCCAAATATATATATATATGTACGTATGTATATAAGAATGTATACGTAGATATATATGTATTTTTGGTGGGTTTAATTTTTTCCTCTGTTACTGTTGGGGGCTTCCTTTAAGTTGTGATTCTCTTGATTCCGTATATGGAGTTTTAAGAAAATTCTGAATGTGGTTTCTGTGTTATGTACTTTGGGAAAGATAACCGTTCTGATTCAACTCTTCTTAAATCCTTAATCTTTTTTAAACTACAAGAAACCTAGGAGTTCTTACAAATTTTGTTAGTGCTAAAAGTTGGGCACATTCTAGTGCAATAGAAAAATAGAAATTGCTGATTGATAACATTTTTATACAAATCACATTGTCTCAGTTGCCAGAAAATCTGGGCATCTACCAGTATACAAACATCTAAGCTCTTTCTGGATCTTTGATTTATTATATTTTCTACTTTGTATGCACTTAAAACAGTTTTAAAGAAAGGATGCTATCATTTGGTCTATCTTTTTAAAATAGGAAACAGAGAGTACTGCATTCAAAGTTGAAAATGGGTCCCCCGTGCAAGAATTGAAGCAAGATGTTTCTAAAAAGGTTCGTAAAATAAATGTCAATATTAGTTCAGCAGATGTGGTGTTTATATGGTACATTTTAAGTGGAATTTTTTTGTATTTTTTAGTATAGTGCCCTGTACTTGGTAGGTGTTCAGTAAATGTCTTAAATCTGTTAAGTGTGTAATTCTGGATACATCAGGCTTTTTGGAACTCATTTTTTATTTGAATTAATTGGTAATTTATCATTGAAACAGTGTAAATGATTTTGAAAAAGTTTTGTAATGTGTTTTTAATTTTATCCTTCTATTTTTATTAAAATAATTTGTGGCTACTCTTGAAGTCACTATCAGGAGATAAAGGTGTTGGGAAGTTCAGTGCCGCAAACTCTGGTATCTTTAGAAATTAAAGATTACATACAAGAAGTCATTCTAATAGTGCCTTTGATACCTTTTAAAGAATTGATACTATGAAGCATCAGAGTTTGAATGATTAGAAGAGGCTACAAAGGAGCCTCCCTGGTGGTGCAGGGGATCAAGTCTCAGCACTATTAAGCTATGGACTGAGGCCTGAGTTCAGATTCCCAGCCAGGGAGTTAACCTAAGTAGTGCAGCAGACCTCTCCTTTCTTGCCCACAGCTCCCCTCAGCATTGTTTTTCAGTGGATCCACCTGTTCTGCTCCGCATTCTGTCTCTGGTGAATCCTGTTAGTCCCCTCCCATCCCCCACACTTCTGGTCTACATCCCAGTTCTTTTATGCATAAATAAATAAAATAAATCTTTTTTTTTTTTTTTAAAAGAAGAGTCTACACAAGGTAAAAATTTTGACATGTGTAGTTGACAGTATCAAAGTAAAACGCAAGGGGAAAGTATGGTGCGTATTTTTCTACTAGTTTTAAGTGTTTTCTGTGCCCCAGATACTATTCTAGGCCAGTGGGTTTCCAGAAACCCTATAAGATAACACATTCTCTGTTTGAGTTTCTTGATTGCTACACCATTCATATTTGAGGCCAGGCATTTCTTGATTGTAGGATGTTTAGCAACATCCCTGGCTCCTACCCACTAGATGCCAGTAGATTCCACCCTACCCTGTTGCAACAACTAAACATGTCCCCAGACATCACCAAGTAACAACCAGGCAAAATGGCCCCCAGTGAAGATCCATTCTACAATCCTTACAAAATTTAGAAATTTAATGAACTCCATCTTTTAATATTGATAATATTTTTCCTATAAATGAAACATATTCCTTTTTGTAAAAAATGATATTGTTTATCAGCATATGTAAGTGGTACCGTTTTTAAAAAATCAGACATTGCCCACAATTCTATACTATAATGTACCTGTCTTGTTTTTCCACATTCCCTGTGTTTCCCATTTGTACACTTTTCTTTACCTAATTGGAGTGTAGGTAAAATTTCATATTTCTATAGGATTTCAATACTTTGTGTTCATTTACCATATCAATTTTTATCAAGCAACTGTAAATTACAGTGTATCTAGCTATTTTTATTGTTGAAAATTTGAAATATTTCTATTTTTTCCACTAGAACTTTTCTTTCCATTTTAGGGAATTTTTTTCTTAGTCTAAATTACAGATGGGCAAAAAGGGCTTTTAAAGGAGAGTTTATTAATTTTTTTAAAAGATTTATTTATTTATTCATACAGAACTGGGGTACAGGCCAGAAATGCGGAGGGTGAGAGGATTCACCAGAGACAGAGTGGGGAGCAGAACAGGCAGATTGACGAAGTACACTGCTGAGGGGAGCAGCGGGCAGTCAGGAGAGGTCTGCCGCACCATGTGGATCTCCTCTGGGGCAGGCGGGGATCGAACTCATGCAGAAGTGGCTTAAGCTTCTTAGTGCTGTGCTTAAAGGAGAGTTTAGAAGCTGAAAATATAGTAGAGAATACTATGGGATAGCAGAATGAGGCTTATAATTCTATGTATCACTTTTTAAATTCTAACTTTTTCAAGTTGAATTAAGTATCTCACATTAATGATAAAAGCTGATAAAGGTCCAAGGAATATACATACACTGACCAATACAGTCCCTACTCCCAGGTAGCGTACACTTTAATAAAGGAAAGCAGATAAACCCAAAACTGAATGTAGTGAATGTTCAAATAAAACACCAGGGGAAGACTTTACTTTCCCCTTGGTGATAGAAATGGGGAAGACTTTGTGGAGGAAGTAGACTCTGAGTTTTTTGATGAATGGATAAGATTTGGGCGGACAGATGAGCTGAAGAAAGGTGTAGTCAACAGCATGGAAATGAAGAGTATGTACAATTTTTGAAGATGAGCCTCAAGGCTAGAGGCTCAAGGCTAAATCATGGGAATGCCTTATGCCTAAATATAAATATATTTAGGCTTGAATTTCCTGGGTTTGATTTTATAATCACTGGGAAAGTGTTGAGTTTTTTGAAGCAGAAAGGTGATAGGAAGCAAACAATTGCTTTAACATAGTCATCTACATTCTGGTCTTGCTTCTCACTATACATATTTCCTATTTGCTACCTCCCAACACCTGGCATGGGGGAGAAACAGGGCTAAACACTATAAATAGGTGCTATGGGGGCATACCAACAGATAGAATACATGGACCTTACATTCCAGGAACCAGTATCTGGTGTGGAGAAAATACTTAATACAGGGCTAACCCATATTCTACTATGTGTTTTATAGTTTATTGTGAACAGTAAGAATGATGGGAATTCAGAAAAGGGAGGGATAGTTCTCAGCAAAGACATTAGGGATGACATAGGATTTTCATTTCATCTGCTCTTAATGCCTTTCCTTCTTGCCTGGTAATGCTCTCTGAACCTTTGTATTTGCCTGGTACTCCTTATGCTCACTGGCATCCCATTCACTTTCAGCACATAACCTTGTTTCCTACTGCATGTAGACATTAGAAGCTAAGAAACTTGAATTACCCCTTTGCACCATTTCTCAGTTTCCTTACCTGAAACATTTTTTTCCTCTTTACCCCTTTTTCATGCCATCACTGAGAATTTGGTGTTCTTTTTCTTCTCTGTTCAAAGTAGCATGGAATACTAGGTTTTTCAGGAAACCCTGGATTTCAGTTTTAGCTTTGTAGTTTACTACAAAGAGTATAGTTAGGAGATCTTTAGCAAAGTTCTTAAGGTGTTTACCTAAGATTCCTGCTTTTGTAGAAAGGATATAATCCAGCTACGTTATAAGGCCAGTGTGATGAACAGCGAATTTTGTGTTGGTTCTAATACACAGTGGATTTCTTTTTCTCCAGGACTTTGTTATCTTCTTTCTGTTGGCTCCTTCCCCTCAGCATATATAAGTTCTGGGTACTTCCTTGCAGCCTATTCCATTTGCAGCCAAGCTTTTTATAAGTGGTAGATTACGTTGGCTCTCTTTATGTCTTCACCACTTACTTATTCTTAAAACCTACTATAGGGCCCTCCCTGGTGGCACAACCGTTTGAAGCACAACACTATGAAGCTAGCCACAGCCGCTTCAGCAGGAGTTCATTCCCTGCCAGGCGCAGCAGATTTCTTCTGTCTCCCCCACTGCTCCTTTCAGCTGTGTACTTTACTTTGTTAGTCTGCCTGTTCTGCTCCCCACTCTGTCTCTGGTGATACCCCCTGCACCTCTGGCCTATACCCCAGTTCTGTATGCATAAATAAATCTTTTTTTTTAAGAACCTACTGTAACTTGCTTCTGTTATCACTAAGATACTCAGTAATTAATACTCAGTAACCACCTAGTTGGCAGATACAGTGACGTTTTAGTTAATATTCTTCTGACATAAGTGAAGTAGGTTCAGGAGAAAATGTTGAAGGCTAAGATAAGCTAATATATGGAAAATGCTGGAAAGACAGGAATGAATAGTATTGAGCATAGTATTATCCAGTTCAAGTTAGCATGATTTTGTGGTAAGCCAGATCAAGGCAGTTCTGTGGCACGTTCTTTTAACTTTCTAGAGCCTAGAGCCGGGGAATCGAGAAAATAGAGATCAACCATGATTGGATATGGTAGAAAGATAAATGGACTGGGAGATCCAATGACAGGATGAGGTACAAAATATATTTTCTTCCTCATATTGGTAGAAGACTTAGAAAACCTATCTATATTTTAAAACTATACATAATAGTTGGGTATTAGGTTTAATCTATTTAAGAAATGTCAGTCTTCCTACATCTGCTTGCTTTTCCTGTCACTGACTTTGAGTTTAGAGCTAAACAGCTTGAATTTTTATAGTTGATGGTTTTGATTCTCATGGTTTTGTTAACTAGTCTTAAACCACCAGACTTATTGCAAGTAACTTGGCATAAATAATGTAAATGAACTATGAGATAAAGAATCTGAATGTAAATTTAGGTTTGAATTTTATTTTACAGGGTTGATTGCGTTTTTGTGATTACAGATACTTATATAGATTCCCTATTATATTGATTATAAGCACAGATTCTGGAACTAAACTCCCTGGGTTTACGCCAGCTTCATCATTTACTAGCTTTGTGACCTTGGCAAATCACTTGACCTCTCTATGCCTTAATTCTTTCATTTGTACAATGGCGATAGTGAGAGTACTATCTCATGATTATTGTGAAGATTAAAAGGTGTAAATTGTTAGGATTATTGCCTGGCACATAGTATGTACTATACAAATGATTAGCTGCTATTGTTTTTGTAAATAGCTTCATTTTTTTAAAAGCTGCTTTTTAACCTTTCATCAGATTATCGAAAGTATTATTGAGGAGAGTCAGAAAGTACTAGAGCTTGAAGATGACACTTTGGATTCCAAAGGAAAAGAACTCTCTGATCAGAGTACTACTAGTCCTGTTGTGGCTGGAACAGATCTTAGCAATATACCTGGACTGTTAGCCATAGATCAAGTACTGCAGGAAGATTCCCAGGAGGCAGAGAGTCAGAGTGCAGGTGAAGAAACTGAATTAGAATTAAAAAAGTGTTTTCCTTCTGATGACACCTGTGAAAATCCAGTAGATGAAGCTGCTACATTAACTGAAATATGTCCAGCTGAGCAGCATGATGTGCCTGAAACTGAAACAGAAGTATTGAACACAGAAGCAGTACAAGTTAAACAAAATGATGTTCTAGAACCTACGTCTTCGCACTCCTTATCTGCTAAAGATTTTGATGCTGTGGAAGAAGCGGCTCCTGCTAAACCCCCACGACAGCTTACTCCAGAACCTGATATAGTAGCTAGTACAAAGAAGCCTGTTCCGGCACGCCCACCCCCTCCAACTAATTTCCCACCTCCAAGACCCCCACCTCCATCTCGACCTGCTCCACCACCAAGAAAAAAGAAAAGTGAACTGGAGTTTGAGGCTCTTAAAACATCTGATCTAGATGGCAAGTATTGATTGAGAAATAACTATTTTTGTGGAGATATATTAAGAGTTGAAATTGCTTAACTTTATAATTTTTTATTTGTACTGTGTGACACTATGTTGATGACCAATTTACAGGAATTATTTTAGTAATAAAAAGTTAATTTTTTTTGTATCGATAAGTTGTATTACTTTGAACATTTCAACAGAAGCTTGAATCTGTTACCATTGCAGAGCTAGAATGGCTTGGTGAAAAGAACTTGGGATTTGGAGATTTAAGGTCTTAATTCAAGCGCTGGGTCTTTCAATGTATACCATGTATAGCCTTGAGGAATTTAAATTAAAGTCCCGGTTTAACTATATATAAAATGTGTCACAAAACCATTGTACTCACAAAGTTGTTTTAAAAATCAAGCAAGTAAAGTTAAAAGCATTTTTAAATCTATGTATAAGGCCCTATACAAATAGTTTTTTTTATTATTATTATTGCAGTTCCCAAAGAAAATACTCCATCTGATACTTTCCTAACTACTAACATGGCTTCAGAGAGTACAGTCAAGGATTCTCAGCCTTCTCTTGATTTAGCAAGTGCTACCAGTGGAGATAAAATAGTTACCGCCCAGGTTTGTGACTTTGAATTATATTTGATATAGACTTCATCAGCTTTCTAAAACTGATTTATTCATTGTTGAATCTTCTTTCTTCAAACCAAGTATTTCCTTGTTCCCAAAATCTAGCCTCCTTTTGTCCCTTGGCCAACTCTGTTACTATCTAGCTGAGTAACTCTAGAAAGCTATTTGACATCAGATTCTCTTTGAAGGTTTCTTGTAAGGCTAAATTATGCCAAGTACCTGGCATGTAGTACACAGTCACATAATGACCAATGCTACTATTTGTAATATTATTGATATTAATAAACACCAACTATAATTTTCATATACCTGACTTATAGTAGTCAACATTAGGTACTCTTATTTTTTATAATTTCTTTTTCCTAACCATGAGAAAGCTCCTTATAGGCTGTATATCCATGTATGAAGCAAAAAAAAGGACTCGATAACATGAAATTTTACTACTAGTCAAATTTAGTGGCTCAAGGATTACTTAGGTAGTAACTATAGTTTTAGCAGTTTAGCTGAGTTGCAAATAAAATGCTGTCATCCTATCATAGCCTTAGAGCAGAGACCACCAATAAGTGGCCTATTTTTATAGTGTCCCCTAGCTAAAGATGGTATTGATTTACGTCTTTATTTTGGTTTTTTTTATTATTATTATTTACTTCATTCTTTATTTTTGTACAATACATGCTTTTTCATCTTGGTTGCAATCCCCGTGGATTTCCCACCACCAATTCACCCATGTCCCATCACAATAGTTCCGTGTGCTCTTGACAACCCTGTCTTCATCCTATTCCCCTCTCCCACCCAAAGATGGTATTTATATTTTAAAATGTTTTTTAAAAAGAGTATCCAACAGAAGCCCTCCCTGGTGGAACAAGGGGTTAAGTCTCTGCACTGTGAAGCTAGCAGCAGCCGCTGCAGCATGAGTTCGATCCCTGGCCAGCCAGGGAGCTGACCCACAGACCAAAGAGAAGAGCAGGCCTCTCCTGTCTTGCCCACTGTTCCCCTCAGCAGTGTATTTCAGTTGATCCACCTGATCTGCTCCCCACTCTGTCTCTGGTGAATCCTCTCACCCCACACCCTCACCTCTGCCCTAGTATATATAAATAAATAAAATAAATCTTTAAAAAATAAGAATATACAACAGAGACTATATATGAAGCAAAAGCCTCAACTATTTACTGACTTCCTTTTCACAGAAAATAGCTTGCTGATCCCAGCCTTTGATATATCCACCTACAGCACTGCTTAATAATGATATTAGTGCCTGCATTCCATTGCTTTTGGGCTAGGTTCAAATAGAACATTTATTTGCTTTCAAGACTACTGAGACATGTTATATATCAATTTTCCCTCAATTAAAAAAATACAAAGACATTAATTTATGGGCAGGGATAGTTTTGGTGCCTAATGCTTTTCACCATGCTTGGAATAATAAAGGAATGAAATGGAGTGTTCCATTTACATTTCAGTAGCCTCCATTATCTGAATCATAGAATTCTTTAGAATGGTGTGTGGTAATGAATAATTGAATATTTATAGAAATTAACTTTCTCTGTGTAACATAATTTCAGGAAAATGGAAAAACACCTGATGGACAGACAATAGCAGGTGAAGTAATGGGCCCTCAGAGACCCAGATCCAACTCTGGGAGAGAGCTTACTGATGAGGTATAATTAGATGTTTGTTGTTTTTTAGATGATTGTTGTTGTTTAGATGTTTGTTGTTGTTGTTGTTTTTTAAAGATTTATTTGTGCATACAGAGCTGGGGTACAGGCCAGAGGCTCAGGGGCGGTGAAAGGCTTCATCAGAGACAAAGTGGGGAGCAAACAGGCAGACCGACGAAGTCCACTGCTGAGGGAAGCAGCAGGCGGGTCAGGAGAGGTCTGCCACACCATGTGATCACCTCCGGGGCAGGCGGGAATCGAACTCATGTGGAAGTGGCTTTAGCTTCTCAGTGCTGTGCTTTAAACCGCTGCGCCACCAGGGAGGGCCCTAGATGTTTGTTGGTTTTAACATAATCTTTAAAATTATGGAAGAGAAGAGTTGTGGAAATGTATGGTTGCATGGCCACTTAATGCCACCAAACTGTATAATTTAAAACAGTAATTTTGGGGTCTTTCTAGTGGTGCTATTAAAGACACAGTGCTGTTGAGATGTCACCAGCCACTACAACATGAGTTTGATCCCTGATCAGGGAGCTGACCCACATGGCACAGCAGACTTCAGACACACTTACCCATTGCTCCCCTCAGCAGTGTATTTCAGTACATCTGCCTTTTCTGCTCCCCACTGTCTCTGGTGAATCTTCTTGCCCCCCTCCACCTCTGGCCTACACCCAAGTTCTTGTATGCATAAATAAATGAATCTTTTAAAAAATAAAATGGTAATTTTATCATTATTTTACCATTTTTAAAAACTTTTTTTAAGTTTATTACTATAAAGCAAAAGAAATCACAAGAATAAAATAAAAATTGAAAATCTTCTTAGTTTTTTTTTAAATAAGTTGGCATTTACAACTCTGACTTAACTTTCCCTTTCACACAACTAAATGGCAGAATAATTATATTGAAAGCAGGCTTTTGTTTTATAGGAAGTGGGCTTTAAAAGAACCTGAAATTATAAGATAGATGTTTTTATACATGTTACATGATGCAAAATGTATACAGACTCATTGCTTCTTACCACTAAATTTAGTATATACCTGTTGGCCAGTTTATTCAGAATTAAGACTTGCAGCAAAAATCTTCATTTTTCTTTCTTTTAAACAAATATTTTTAAAATTATTTTACTTAGGAAAAGTCTGGCAGTTGCTCAGGATACTAAACGTTGTTACCTTAACCCAGCATTCTACTTCTATATATACACAGGAGAGAAATAAAAATAAGTCTATACAAAAATAGTATGTAAGTGTTCATAATAACCCAAATGTGGAATCCAAAGATCTGTCACTGATGAATGGGTAGGTAAAATTGGTATGTCCAGCATTTAGGAATGAAGTTCTCACACATGCTACATGAGTGAACTTTTACATTGCAAGATTTTTAATTATGTTGGAGATCCTAAAGAAAAATATCAAGTAGTAATGACAAGATTAATTAATTTTTGTTTTATTTGACATAAAAATTATAGAACTTTTTTGTTTAAATATGCTTATTTGGGATGTAAAGAGACTATTGGTGGCAATCATAATGTGGTATGTGCAGATGCAGAATTCTAGTGTTGTATTCCTGAAATCCATACAATGCCACACTGCAACCAAATTTTTAATAGGGTCATTTCTAGGGCCTCATGGTATTCTTCATGATATGGTCTCATTCCATATGACTGACCCAATTTTTTTTTAAGATTTATTTATTTACTCATATAAAACTGGGTACAGGCCAGAGATGCGGTGGGTGAGAGGATTCACCAGAGACAGAGCGGGGAGCAGAACAGGCAGATCGATGAAGTACACTGCAGAGGGGAGCAGCGGGCAGGTCAGGAGAGGTCTGCCGCACAATGTGGAAGCAAGCACCATGTGGATTTCCTCTGGGGCAGGCGAGGATCAAACTCATGCTGAAGTGGATTAAGCTTCTTAGTGCTGTGCTTTAACCCACTGTGCCACTAGGGAGGGCCCATGACTGACCCAATTTTTCTCCCATCCGTAGAGAAGTAGGCTGTCTGCAAGTTTTCACCACTTAAATAATATTATGATGATTATCCATGCATAAGATTTGTATCTTTTCTCAACATTTTGTCATGGATTTTTTTAATACATAAAATAAAAGATAATAAAACAATCCTCATACACCCATCATCCAATTTCAATAACTGTTGTCATTTTATCTTTCTTGGAATCTTAAAAATGTGCTACATTAAAGATAATGGTAGTGGGACGAACTACAGGGACTACACCTGCGGGGAGAAATCAGATAGGTCCAGAAGTTAACAATGATGAAAATAAATATTAAAAATAAAGATTCTCTCAAAAGATCACATATTATATAATTTAATTTATGGGCCCTCCCTGGTGGCACAGCAGGTTAAAGCACAGCGCTACGAAACTAAAACCACTTCAGCACAAGTTTAATTCCTGACCAGGGAGGTGACCTGCATGATGTGGCAGGACTCTCCTGACCTGCTCACTGCTCCCCTCAGCAGTGTGCTCCATCAATCAGCCTGTTCTGCTCCCCATTCCGTCTCTGGTGAGTCCTCTCACCACCCCTGCACCTCTGGCCTGCACCCCTGTTCTGTGTGCATAAATAAATAAATCTTTAAAAAATAATTTCATTTATATGAAATGTCCAAAATAGGCAAATTCAGAGAGTCAAGAAGTAAATTAGTGGCTACCAAGGTCTGAGAGGAGAGGGAAATGAGATATGACAAATAATAGTGTGGGGTTTCTTTTGCAAACAGTGGAAATGTTCTAAACTTAGAAAATGGTGATGGTTGCACAGCTTTGTAAAAGTACTCAAAACCATTGAACTATATGCTTTAAATTAATGACTGCCTCTTGTATTTGAATTATGTTTCCCTAAAAATGTTTAAAATTATGCACAGTACTGAATATATTTAGAAAGCCCTAAACTTAAATTTTGAAGATTTTGTAGGCTTAAGAAGATAATTAAATTATAGATCATGCCAGTGCTTTTTTTTAACCTCAGGAAATTTTGGCCAGTGTAATGATTAAGAATCTGGATACTGGAGAAGAAATACCTCTGAGTCTTGCAGAAGAGAAGCTGCCAACAGGTATCAATCCTCTCACTCTACACATCATGAGAAGGACTAAGGAATATGTAAGGTATGGTCTATTGTTATAATTTATCATTTGTAGTATTTCAGAGTGATGAAGAGTTCCCTGTTTGAACTATGTCAGCCCCTACTTTAGTTGCATTCAGTCTTTTTAAATCTGAAATTGAAATTAATTTATTCCTAAGTTTTGTTGTTTCTTAAGACTATACAGTTATTCAGGAGAAATAGTGTATGTCTTAAATCTGTAGTATTTGGTTTCTATTCTTAAAATTATTGGACTATGCTAGACACTATAAAAACATTGTGGCTGAAAAGCCAGATGGGATGAACAGCTAGACTTCTGAAACTGCTTTAAGGATCACAAATTTTATAAATAGCTATTATTTAGTGTCAGAAAATGGCTTTTTAATGGTGATTGACTTTACTATGAGATGTATGTAGATCTAAGGAGTCATTTCTGTGAAAGTGAAGTTTTTATTAGTATAATATTTTATTTTATTCAGTATAATGTATGATGTGCTTCCTGAGTGGAAAGATATTTACAAGTTAATTTTTATTTTTGTCATTTTTATTTTATTTAGTTATTTACAAGTTCATTTTTCATTTCTGTGCAGCACATTTTACCCAGCATAAAACCTTATTTGTAGTAGGCTTTTCCACTTACATTTTGTATATTTCACCTTACTTAAACATTTTACTTTTCACTCTTTCAAGTCTTGACATTCTTAAGATCATCATCTTAATTTAAATTATAAAAGCGTATTTATATAGTTTGGTTTCTTATTCTGATTAGCTAATTATGTTTTAAGTATAAATAGAGATTTTTGAGATTTGTGGGGGAGGTGGGAATGTCTTTTTAAAGTGACTTTTTTCCCTTTTTGTAGTACTGATGCTGCACAGTCTGATGATGAAGAGAAGTTACAGTCTCAGCCAACAGATACTGATGGTGGAAGATTAAAACAAAAAACGTGAGTTACACTTTTTCTTCGTTTCAGACTATTTCATTTCAGGCTTTTTTAAAAAAAAAAAAAAGTATACATGAGAACTGCTATACCATTTTAAATGTATCCTCTATCCAGTTTGCATGTCTGTCCACTACTGCTACTCCCTGACCTGACCCATAGATTATGAGTCCCTTAAGTCTGTGTAGTAGATGATCAGTAAATGTTGCATCTTGCCTGTATTATTTTTCTGACAGTAGGTAGCAGAAGTGTTAATAGAAAAATATCATTGTTCTTGAAGTTGTTTTTCATCTCTGCAAGTCCTGTTTGTCTTTCTAAACCCCAACTAAATGACTATTCCAGCTCATAGAAAAATTTCTCCCTTTTCTCAATTTGAGTCATAGCTATAATGTTTATAACTTACCTTCACCCTTTATATATATTATCTTAACCTGTTTTCTGATTTTAAAAGCAAAGATAGATGTTAAACAACTAAATTATATGTTGCAAAAGGATCAATCATTCCATCCTTTTTCCCCTACAAACATCAGGCACAGTGGTCGGCATATAGATTTGGCTTGATTATACACAAGTCATGTCACTGCAGTAGTTCATTTCGAAGCCCAAAACTCATTCTCCACTCAAGTCTGATTAATTCCTACGTGAACAGCATGGCAAATAGAGCTTTGCGAGTTGTTAGAAAATGTGTACTACGACACAGGTATATAACACTTCAGATATCAGAATCAGAAAAATGACAAGAGGATTCACACATAACCATTTCAAATGACAGTGCTTTCAACTTTTTCTCCTGTCATGGCACCCATAACTCATAGAACCTGCTAGTATTGGCACTAATGATGGAATAAGCGGATGAGAGAGCTGGTGGCCGGAAGAGACTTGCCCAGGGTTGTGGCTTCCCTGCTCCTTGTCCTGCTGCCTTTAAAGCTGAGTGGGATACCAAGAGTACGGCCACTTGGAACCCACTTTGAGAAGCGTTGAGTGTATCACAGATCCTCACTGACCCTGTGTTTTAAGGAAAGACACTTATGAAACATTAAGTGCCATTGAAGAAAGCACAAAAATACATATTTTAGAAGTAGTCTCACTCAAAGTGATTAAAATATCTGTTTTTTGCTTTTAATGTAGTAGTAAACCTATAATTGCCTAGAAAATATCACTTAAGTGGGCATCAGAGGCCTTACACTGACTTTTAAAATGATTTATCAAATGGGTTTCCTGATAATCAAAAGTAATACAGGGCCTCCCTGGTGGCCTACGGATTAAGTTTCAGTACTATCACCACTATATCCTGAGTTCTGTCCCCAGCCAGGAACTCACCCACATGGCACAGCAGAGACCTCCTGTGCTGCCCACTGCTCCCTCAGCAGTGTATTTCAGTCAGTCCTCCTGTTCTTCTCCCCACTCTGTCTCTGGTGAATCCTCTCAGCCCCCACACCTCTGGCCTATATTTCTAGTTCTTCCACCCTTAATTAAATGAATAAGTCTTTTTTAAAAAAAAAAACACAGAAATGTATAAAATAGAAAAAATATCTTGCAATCTCACCCCCAGAAACTATCAGTATTAATAATTAAGTTTTTTTTTCTCACAAGAGTAGGATTGTACTACCCTTACAGTTTGTCAGCTTGCCTTTTTAAAAAATAGGTAAGATGTACAGACATCTCTTCATGTTAGTATCAATAGTAAACATATTGTAGACTTGTCCTCAGTCAGACATGGAAGTTAGGTACTGGGCATACAATGATTAAGAAAACATAGTATCCATCTTCATAGAACTTCAAGTTAAACTGGAAGATAAACCTAATTATCTTTGTAATGTGGGGTGCTGTGGGAATATGTAATAGAAAAACCTGGTCTAAAGAGTAAGAAGGACCTTTTGAGAGAGAACTGTTTCTCTCTAAAAGAGTAGAAACTAGGCAAAGGCAACAAAACACGTGTTTAAGACCCTACTAAGAATTAGGAACATTTCTTAGAACTGATGTTTCCCTCATTTATTTTACTTTATTTCACTGTATGGATATTCTATCAATTATTTATCCATTCCTCTGCCGATGAAAATTCAGTTTATCTTTATTTTTAAACAAATTTAAACATATATAGCTTAACAACTTTTTCAAATGTTGGCCTTAATATCATGAATTCCCATAAATTAGTAAAAATATACCTTTAATTTGTAAGTTTTTTGTTTTAAAATAACATGTACTTGTACTGTTCTTTAGTATGTTATAATCTATGAAATTTATATTTATTATGTGTAGTATATATTTATATAATATATAATATGTATAATAAATATTTTTAACATATAATATGTAATAAATTTATGATATATGAAATTTGAGACTTAGATCATTTGAAAAGGCAGCAAATCTTAGTTATGGAGGCTTGAGATGAATGCTTGATTACATTGTGTTTAAGAATTCCTACTGGAAAAGCACAGTGCATTTGTATTATCTGCAAATACTTCAGTACCAGCCACAATTAACAAAATTGTGAATTATTGAACTTTTTGCAGCTAATTGAATAATAAGAAATATGTTGGGTGGGTTTGTTTTTGTCTTGTTTTTGTATTGTTGGTAAGGACTCAGCTAAAGAAGTTCCTGGGAAAATCAGTAAAGAGAGCAAAACACCTTGCTGAGGAATATGGTGAACGTGCTGTAAATAAAGTTAAAAGTGTTAGAGATGAAGGTAAGTGAAATAGAACATTTCAACTTAATATTTAATTGATTTGTTACCTGCTAAAATTACCCTTTTCTATTGAAAGCAGTAAAACTTTATAGCAAATATCATTTATTTCAATAAATCATAAATTACTTCTGCTCTCACTTAATTTTCAGTGGAAAGAGAAATAAGTTTACATATCTTGAGGTTTGTACAGATCTTTTACTGTAACAACCTAAAATAGTTGTTTGAACATTTGAACACAATGATCAATTACTGATTAGTCTTATACTATTAAGTGCTTCTCAGTATTTTAATAATTGGGTAGATTTTCTGAATTGGCAACTTTTTTTTTCACTGTTTTTCCACACCTGTTTTCATTTTCTTTTTTTACACTAAATTTATTATATTAATTTTCTTACAGCATTGTTCACATTTGGGGAGTAATTGGTTTCTGCCCTCAGCTAAAGTCCCCATAGTCCTCCCACCAATATATCACCTGTGAACCATGACCATATAGTCCCTTATAATTTGTGCACATCTCACCCTCCTCTGCCTTTGTAATTATGTAGTACTTATTTTGTGGCAGACATTGTTCAAGCATTTTCACCTATTTTTTAAATATAGTTTATTTATGTATATTTTACATTATTGTTCATTTTTGTACAGTGTTTGCTACCTCCTCTCAGGTGTAGTCCCCGTAGAATTCCCACCACCAAGTTACCTGTGCACCTTCGCCATAGTCCCCTGCACTCTTCCCACTCCTGTTCTAATCCCTCTCCCTCTCCTTCCCCCACAGAATGTCTCTGATTTGTAGTTGCCTGCCAATTTTTTGTTGTTATTTTTTCCCGATCCCTTATTTGGTTCCCCTATATTCCTCCTATAAGTGAAACCATCTAATATTTTTTCTTTTCCCTTCTACTCATTTCACTGAGCATAATCCCTTCCAGCTCCATCCATGTTGCTGCAAATGGCATGAATTTATATATTTTGATTGCCAAAATAATATTTCATTGTGTATATATACCACATCTTGATCCAATCTTTTATTTTGGGGCATTTGGGTTGTTTCCATATCTTACTTATTATAAATAGTGCTGCAGTAAACATAGGGATGCAGCTATCCTTTTGAGTTAATGTTTTTCTGTCCTTTGGGTAGATTCCTAGGAATGGAATTACTGAGTCATATGGTAGCTCCACTGTTAGTAGTTTGAGGAAACTGCACACAGCTTTCCATAGCAGTCAGACCAGTTTGCATTCCCACATTTTCACCTGTATTAACTCGTAAAACCCCTATGTGGTATGTGCCATTAGTGTTCCCACTTTATAAAATAGAAAGTTGAGGCATAGAAAGGTCAAGTCATCTTGCCTACCATCACCTAAATAATAAATGAAAGAGATGGATTTTAACCCATTTTCTTAATTGATATGCTATTTTAATAATAGACATGGCTTTTCTATTTAATGAATTTTCTTAATAAGCAGTAGATAAGAAAATATTGTAGTGGCTGTATCTACTTTAGCTGGTGATGATTTCTGTGGCTTCTTTATTCAGTGTTTCATACTGATCAAGATGATCCTTCATCAAGTGATGATGAAGGAATGCCATACACAAGACCAGTTAAATTCAAAGCAGCACATGGTTTCAAAGGACCTTATGATTTTGATCAGATCAAAGTGGTACAAGATCTTAGTGGTGAACATATGGTAAGCAACTTTTTTAATTTTCAGGGTTTATACTGTGTTCGTTGAGAAAAATGCTTTGACTTCTCTAAAGCTGGCCTCTTTTATGAATGTAATTTTTTGAGCTTACATCATTGTTTATTTTCGTACCGTATTTGCTTTCTCCCTCAGGTGTAGCCCCCATAATTCTCCCACCACCACAGTACCTGTGAACCATCACCATAGTCCCTTGTGCTGTTCTTCCCCTGTTTTGATCTCTTCCCCCACCCTTTCCCTGCTGTAAGCCTCAGATCTATGGTCTGTCTGCAACTTTGTCTTTTTCCCGACCCTTTGTTGGATTTCTCTGTGTTCCACCTATAAGTGGAAGCATCTGATATTTTTCTTTTTCCTTCTGACTTGTTTTGCTTAGTATAATCCCTTCCATCTCCATCCATTCTGCTGCAAATGGCATAAGTTTTTTTTCTTTTTGATCACTGAGTAGTATAATATTGTGTGCCTGTTCCACAACTTGATCCATTCATCTGTTTGTGGCATTTAGGTTGTTTCCATGTCTTTGTAAATAGTGCTGCAGTAAACATAGGAGTGCAGGTTTCCTCTTGAGTGAGTGTTCTTGTGTACTTTGGGTAGATTCCTAGGCGTGGAATCACTGGGTCATATGGTTGGTCCATTTTTAGTGCTTTGAGGAAACTCCATACAGCTTTCCATAGTGGCTGGGCCAGTTTTCATTTTCACCAGCACTGTAAGAAGGTTCCTTTTTCTCCACATTCTTTCCAACATCTGTTGTTGCCAGTTTTCTTAATATGGTCCATTCTCACCACTTTGAGGTGGTATCTCAGTATGGTTTTAATTTGCATTTTCCTGATTATAAGTGTTGTTGGACATTTCTATTGGCCATTTGTATTTCTTCTTTTGAAAAGTGTCTTTTTAGCTCTGCTGCACATTTTTTTGACTTGGTCGTTTATTTTTGTTAAGTTTTGTAAGCTGTAGATTTATGATACCAGTCCCTTATTAGTTATATGGTATGGACATATTTTCTTTCATTCAGTAGGTGTCTCTTCATTGTGGACTGTCTCTTTTTGCTGTACAGAAGACTTTTAGTTTTATGGAGCCACAGCTTTTTACCTTTTCCTTCATTTTCTTTGCTTCTGAGGATGAGTCCTAAAAGATGCTTCTGAGGTTTATGTCATAGAGTGTGTTGTGCCAGTGTTTTCTTCTTTGTGCTTTTATGGCTTCAGGTCTTACATTCCGATCTTTCATCCATTTTGAGTTGGGTTTTGTGTGGGGTGTGAGGTAGTTGTCTAGTTTCATTCTTTTGCATGTCGCAGTCCAGTTTGCCCAACACCATTTATTGAAGAGACTGTCCTTGTTCCAATGTATATTCTTTGTGCCTTTGTCATAGATTAATTGACCATATATGTGTGACTTTATTTTTGGGTTTTCACTGTGATTCCACTAATGTGCATGTCCATTTTTGTTCCAGTATCATGTTGTTTTTATTACTATGGCATTATAATACATGATTTTACTAGCCTGACCCAACGGGTAAATTAATATATATTTTTTAAAGATTTACTTATTTATGCATACGGAGCTGGGATACAGGCCAGAGGTGCAGGGGTAATGAAAGGATTCACCAGAGACAGAGTGGGGAACAGAACAGGCTGACTGACGAAGCACACTGCTGACGGGAGCAGTGGGCAGTCAGGAGAAGTCTGCCACGCCATGTGGGTTACCTGCGGGGCAGGCAGGGATCAAACTCATGCTGAAGTGGCTTTAGCTTCTCATTGCTGTGCTTTAACCCGCTGTGCCACCAGAGAGGGCCCTAATATTTTTTTAAAGGCTTACTTATTTTTGCAGACAAGAACTGGGGTACAGACCAGAGATGCAGGATGGGAGGTGAAAGGATTTACCAGAGATAGAGAGGAGAGCAGAACAGGCAGATCTACTGAAACACTGCTGAAAGGAGCAGAGAGAGAAAGAGACAGGAGAGGTCTGCTGCACCATGTGGATCATCTCCCTGACCGGGGATCAAACTCATGCTGCAGTCGCTATGGATAGATTCATAGTGTTGCATCTTAACCCCTTGTACCACCAGGGAGGCCCCTTTGGGTGAATTAATATTAGCATGATTTAATGAACAGGTAATGTAGAGTCTATCTCTGAATTATTGTTCCAGAAGTGGGTTTAATGAATAAGTAAACTCTAGACTTATATCACTAAGAAAACTATGCAAGTGTAGTAAACTTTAAAGCATCAGGTCAGATGGTAAACTATGAAAATGTTTAAAATGTTCCCCCTGTATATTTTATATAATTTACACAATTATTTCAAGATCTCAATATATTTTATAATGCGACAGCTGAAGTAAAGAGAAAGATCATGGTGCAAATTCTCTCAATGTTAAAATGTATCAGAGTAGATATAAAATGCACAAATTTTATTGTAGTTACTCCCTAAAAAAAGCTCATACCATGGAGAAAGCAGTAATAAACTCACAACTGAATAAAGGATGCTGTAGTTCTTTGATCAGGTGATCTATTTAGATTTTAATCTAAAGTTTGACTTTATTAGAAGGAAACAACCATAAATATCAGATTGTTGGCCAGATTGGAATTTAAATTTTGGTGCTTATAATCAACCCATAAAATGTTTGAGTTGATTATAGTAACTTCCTTAAAGAAGTTGGTAAATTTCCTTGCACTGTCTTGATTCTCTTTCATGATTACCTATTTGAAGTAAAATATTATAGCAGGCCCCCAAATTACAATTTTCTTAATAGTCTTTAAATCTTGTGGAAGTGAATATGATTCCAGCAAATGAATTGTTTCCTCTAACTTGGATAATCTTTTGATCTGCATAGATGTATTGTGTAAAATTATTTATAATAATAATTGTTATAGTAAGATTTGACCTTTCCAGTTTAAGGGTTCACATCCTTTAAGCCCCATACCTCACCCCTGCTGCACACATAGGTCTCCACTGTTTTCAGCATCTCTCTAGGAATTCTATCCATAAACTATGAAACTTTTTTTTTTTTTTAAGATTTATTTATGCATACAGATCTGGGGTACAGGCCAGAGATATGGTGGGTGAGAGGCTTCACCAGAGACAGAGTGGGGAGCAGAACAGATAGACTGACAAAGTACACTGCTGAGGGGAGCAGCAGGCGGGTCAGAAGAGGTCTGCCATGCCATGTAGGTGAGCTCCCTGGCCAGGGATCAAACTCGCTGCAGTGGCTTCTGAGAGCTTTATAATGCGGTGCTTTAACCCGTTGTGCTGCCAGGGAGGGCCCAAGACCTTATTTCTTGACAGAAAATCAGGATGAGTCCACAGGTCTCCCAACACCACTCACTGCTGTGTAAGTCACTGGAGAAGTTGTCAGTGCTGTGCTGAGAGCTCTGCTCCTTTCCCCCTTGTGTTCAGCTAGGAAACTGAGATCTTAGGCTAGGATTTGTGTGTCTGTATAATGCAGATTTCTAGCCACCCTAGGAGCCGGGTTCCATTAATATTGTATAAACTTGGGGATCTTAAGTTATTAGATTCTCAGCCTGTCTTTTTTCCTAAAAGTTCTTCCTTTTGGTATTTTAACACCATTGGGCCGTCCATCTTAAGCAGTTGTGTGTGTCATCTTAGTATGGCATATTTTTTTTAATTTGACATAAAAAGTAGTGACTCAACTTTTAAAGTAATGATTTTGAATCTTCCTTCCTTTTTATAGGGAGCTGTTTGGACCATGAAATTTTCTCATTGTGGCAGATTACTTGCCTCAGCTGGACAAGACAATGTAGTAAGAATATGGGCTTTAAAGAATGCTTTTGACTATTTCAACAATATGCGAATGAAATACAATACTGAAGGTATTTTTTGTTTATTTTGCAGGCTATAAAATTCTGTAAATATGGAACTTTTGCATTTTAAATATATATTGTTGCCCTCTTATCTGGCAGTCATTTGTAGCATCTATCATCCACACCTTTCTATAATAGCTATAGACCTAAAAAAGAGAACTCAGCAGCAAAAAATCTCTAAACCCAGTGATTAAATAAAACTACTAGTTTTTTTCCCCCTTTATCCCTTTTTAAGGTGTTGTGAGTAGTTAATTTCATCAACTATTGAAGTAAAGTTACTTGGTTTGCTCTGACACCTCCAGTTCCCTTCTAGGTTAAAATTAAATATGGTTTATCTAAAAAAAGAATGAGAACAATATATACATCTAAAGTTAAGAAAGATTAAGGAAATATAGCCATGGAAAGTAAATGAGTTGTCAGTACCTCAAAGGGTTAAATGGAAGAGAAACCTCAGAGTATGATGTAGGTACACAATAATTACAGCTGTGTAAAATATTTCTGTTCATAGTAAGTTATCAGGAAATTATGTAGAATTGATGTATTAGAAGCTGTAAGTTTGAGGTTCTTGTATTTATTTAACTGCCATACATTTTCTCCACAAACCCTTTCCTGCCTCCCCTCTCCCCACCCCCAAACAACTGAGACTGAGAACAAGAAGTCACGGGATAGGAGAAAGGAGACTAGAGATGGCCATGGGTGGGGGGTATAAGAGTATTTAGTGAAGTATCAGTTTGAGGAACAGATAAATTCTAGGCAATCCACTATATATATACTTAGTAGCCCTGTGAATATTGTTTGCATTGTGCTACATAATACATAGTTGGAAATGATAATGAGTTGACAAAATGTTAATCTGTTTACTGTGTGGTAAGTTTTTCTAGTTCTTGCAGTTTGCCATATATTGCATTGCCATGCCTATAGCAGAAAGACTATTTTCATTGACCCTTGAGTCTTACCCCAGCCCAGACCCTTTCGGCCTCAGCCTCTTGATTGTTCATCTTGCTCTTTGCTTGTTATGATTGGCAAGAATATATTCACTATGAATACAAAAGATTTAACATTATTTTATTAAGTTACAGAAATGATTGTTGTTTTATATAAAAGCAAGTATGTTAAGGCTTGAAGAGTTATGCTTGGCTTGTTTAAAAAAAGGATTTTTTTTTCAGAATATGATATTCTCTGATTAATTAGGTGTTACTGTGTTATTTATAATTGATGGGGGTTTGGGGGGGTGTATATGTGTACATGCATGCCTTTTTACAATTTCTCTTGTTTTTAGGACGTGTTTCCCCTTCACCTTCTCAGGAAAGTCTAAATTCATCAAAATCTGATACAGATACAGGGGTATGTTCATTATTTTGTGCCTTACTGTTTATCAGAAATTAGAGTTGGATGCAAGTTCTTGATAGTAACATGCTTTAGAAAGGAGTTTCTTCTACTAGAATTGGTAAATGAAAAATTGTGATGTTTAAAGGTTGTCAACAGTGATATTACTCAAGCTACGTACTATTGTGAACTTAAATAAAACAAAATTCCCTCCCCTCAATCCATGTTGATTTTTTTTAAAAGATTTATTTATTTGTGCATACAGAACTGGGATACAAGCCAGAGGTGCAGGGGCAGTGAGAGGCTTCACCAGAGACAGAGCAGGGAGCAGAACAGGCAGATCAATGCAATACACTGTCAAGGGGAGCAGCGGGCGGGTCAGGAGAGGTCTGCCGTGCCATGTGGATCACCTCTGGGGCGGGCGGGGATCAAACTCATGCTGAAGTGGCTCCAGCCTCTTTAGTGCAGTGCTTTAGCCCGCTGCGCCACCAGAGAGGGGCCCATGTTGATATTTTTAAGACAATAATGGAAATTGAAATAAGTTAAGGGAAGAAAAAAGATATTGAAATATTTTAATTTTTCCATCATCTTGGTTTAGTAATTATTTTTCCATGATTTCAGGTTGTTTAAGATATCTTGATGTTTATTTTGTATTAGAACTAGAAAATTAAATGTGACCAATTTTAAACCTAAACAGCAGAATATAAAATATTACTCTACTTGTATATTGATATAAGAAGCACTGGGAAATATAAAACCTAAAAAGCAGAATATAAAATATTACTTTGATTGGCCCCAATTGTATATTGATACATGAAGCACTGGGGACAATTAGAGTAATATTTTATATTCTGCTTCTTAGATTTAAAAAGAGAACCTAAACTGTCTGCCTGCTCAGCAGTGTTTTTCCTGAGATTTCATTGGCTCTATAGAATTGACATTAATTTTCCCCTACTCTTTACATAGTCCTTTTAGCCCCCCATGGTTCACTTTCCCCCTGCTTTCTTTCTGTATCCCTACTATCACTCCTTCCACCCTCTTATATGTTGCTGTTTTGATCCTTGGCCATTCTCACTACCCTCCAGGCCTGAACTTGCTTTAGAGCCTTAATTCTTATTTCTTTCAATTGTTTTACATTTTAAAGACAAGAGTGAGGTGCTGCTATGCATGCTGCCCTTTTCACATAGCAATATATAGGATTACTTCATCTGCATGTTCTTTGATAACATCAATTAATAGGTCTAAAACTGAACTCCTTCAGCAAATAAATGCCTGTGACACTGATTCTAGAAAGTCAAATGGCACATATTCTCTGGTTTTCATAAACCCTGCTCACTACTAGTGAAATAGAAAAATCGATAACTACAATATTAGATGGTAATAGTTTGCAGAAGGTATTATACAACTAGAGGAGTTGCCTAGTAACTCAGAAAGTGTTCTGGAGACTTTGTTGTTTGTGCTAGGAGTTAACTATATGACATAAGGTATATGACAAAGGGTTGTATCAGGTAGAATGAGCAGCAAGTACAAAGGTGTGGAAGGTGAAACATCATATGGCCGGACAAGTATGTGTGTGTTAGTTGTCGGTGAGGCAGACAGGATTAAAATTTTAAATGGCCTTTTGTGTTAAACCAAGATATTTGACCTTTATCCTGCAAAGTACTAGGAAAGGGGAGTGACTCGGAGAGATTTCTCATGAGGAACATTTTTAAAAGTTCAGACTTTTGTTTTAGAAAGCACCCTACTTCTGCTAGCACTATAAAGGGAGAGGGTTCAGGGCTAGAAACAGAGACTATTTAAGGGGCTGTTACCCAGGAGGAAAAAAATGATAGAGACTATTTAAGG